TCAAAAGAGAGTCAAAGGAAACGAAAAACCGATGATTTGAATGACGGCTCGAATGAGAAGAGGAGTCGAGTGGAGGGCAGAGCCAAAGGCCAGTCGCCGGCCGTATCGTCGCTATGGGTCGACAAATACACTCCGGTGTCGACCAAAGCAGTGATCGGACAACAGGGGGACAAGAGTTGTGTCAATAAACTCATCAAATGGTTGTCCAATTGGTACCACAATTTGGACAAAAAGCCCGGTTTCGGCAAATTCGCGGCCGAAGGCGACGGACAGGGCTTTCGGGCGGCGCTGTTGTCGGGTCCGCCCGGCGTCGGGAAGACCACATCCGCACAACTGGTGTGCAAAGAGTTGGGCTTTGATTACATCGAATTGAACGCATCGGACGCCAGGAATAAGAAAACACTGGAACAAGTGGTCAAAGAAGTGCTCCAAAACACGACACTCACCGACTTCTTCAACACGGCGTCCGCCAAGACGTCGGTCACCACCAGACACGTTGTCATTATGGACGAAGTGGACGGTATGGCCGGCAACGAAGACAGAGGCGGTGTCGCCGAACTGATCCAATTGATTAAGACGACAAAAGTGCCCATCATTTGCATTTGCAACGACCGCTCGCACCCGAAGATGCGATCTCTGGTCAACTATTGTTTTGATTTGCGGTTTTTTAAGCCGAGAGTGGAGCAGATAAAGGGGCCGATGATGTCCATCGCCTACAAAGAGGGCCTTCAAATCGCGCCCAACGTCTTGCATGAGCTGATCGTAAGCGCCAATCAAGACATACGGCAAGTGTTGCACAATCTGTCTCTGTTGGGCACCGGAGCCAAAAAGATNGATTTGCGTTTCTTTAAGCCCAGAGTGGAGCAGATAAAGGGGCCGATGATGTCCATCGCCTACAAAGAGGGCCTTCAAATCGCGCCCAACGTCTTGCATGAGCTGATCGTAAGCGCCAATCAAGACATACGGCAAGTGTTGCACAATCTGTCTCTGTTGGGCACCGGAGCCAAAAAGATTGATAACCTATTGTCCGATCAGTCCATTAAAGACGTCCGATTGGTATTTGTTTTGAAATGGTTTGCTATTTTATTTGTTTGACTCATTGATTGCATTTGTGATGACATTTTTAGAGTACGTTTGAAGCGATTCGCAAAGTGTTTACCGCCGGCGAAGAGTACCAACGGATGAGTTTCAATGACAAATCGGACCTATTTTTCTGCGACTACTCTTTTATGCCGTTATTTAGTTTTGAAAACTATCCGCTCGTCAACCCATCCAAAGCCAAGTATTTCTACATTTTTTTGTTACGTTTTATTCATTTGTTTGATAAATATTTGTATGACTTTATTATAGGAATGAAAGCCAACGACTGAAATGTGCGACAAAAACGATTGAATCGTTAGCTTTTGGAGATCTGATTGAGAAACAGATTCGCAGCGCTAATAACTGGAGTCTATTACCACTACAGGCGGCGTTCGCTAGTGTTATGCCCGGCGCTTACATGAACGGCCACTTTGGTGGACAAATCAATTTCCCCTCATTTATGGGCAAAATGTCGACCACTAATAAAAAGCTCCGTTTATTACAAGAGCTGAAAATGCATATGAATTTGAAAGTTAGCGGCAGTAAGAGTGCCCTCAATCTGGACTATTTGGAGCCATTGAGGGACTCTATAATCGAGCCATTGGTGGCCAATGGGACGGGAGGTGTGCCCAACAGTATTGAGAAACTCGAGAACTACTGCCTCCGACGCGAAGATCTCGAATCGATACTCGAGTTAACCGTTT